CACCTCGCGATGCAAATTTGCATCTCCACCTACAGTAGATGTAAAAACGGCAGTCGCGTGCCAACCGCCCAACTGCCTTCATTTGGCTTCCGCGCGACCGCCGCCCGTTCGCCCGACTGCCGGCCGCCGCCATGGCCAATGCCAATGACCCCGCCGCGTCCTCCGTCGCCGCTTGTCTGGCCCACCTTGCTGCAGCCGCCGTCGGCGCGACCATGGTCCCCAATTTGGCCTCCGCCTCCATGCCGCCGCCCCGGATTTGCCCCACCTCAGCCGGTCGCCGTCACGCCGGAGCTGCCTGCGAAGAAGCAGCGGGACGCCAAGCCACGCGGTGGAGACGTGAAGCGGCAGATGGCGCGGGGGCGCAACCCGGTGGCGAACCAACCTTGGCCGGCCAAAATTTCGAAGCCAGAGCGGCTGCGGTGGGCGATTGGCTGCGGCCGTGGCTTCCTCCTCCGGCCAAAGAGGCCCTCCTCCACCTCCGCCGTCGTCCCTACGCCGTTCCCCCGAATGGCGCCGCGCCGCCGCCGTCCCCATTGCCGCTGCCCCGATTCGGCCGCCGCCCACTAGTTTTTACATCTCCATTTTGCATCCCTATTGGAGTTGCAGTTTTACATCTCCGTTTTGCATCATCCGTTGGAGTTGGCCCTTTGCAAAAAGCACTTCTATTGGAGATGCTCTTACTGTTGTGAATGGATGTTAATTTCCAGAGATTTTTCAGATCGATGTGTTCTACTATTACTATCCCAAGCGGCTTGGCGAAGTTCTATTTGTGGATGCACCATTTGTGTTTCAGCCAATGTGGCAGCTTGTTAAACCTCTGCTGAAACAATATGCCTCCTTGGTCAGTACTGTTTTACTTTTATTTGAATGGTCTTGATCAGTACTGGTTCTCTCAAGACATCTCATCAAATGATTTAACCTCTAATAGTTGTTGCTTGTTCTGTATATAAGGTAAGATTTTGTGATGCCGAGACCGTGAGAAAAGAGTACTTCACAGAAGAAACCGTGCCTCCCGATTTCCGCCGTTAGGCGTCATGGTTTCTGAATCCTGAGCTGTCATACTGTTAATGGCTGGTGGCCAGATTCTGTGGAAGGTCAGTTCAGTGCTGATTTCCCCTGTTTCTCCCTTTCTTCGTCCTTCTGTCGGTTTATTTTTCTCCAGCAGTATAAACAAATCCAGACATGAACTGTGAGCTGGACCATGAGTAATGTGTGCCAAGGCCGATTCGATGGGGTCACAGTCTCACAGATCATAGAATGCTAGCTGATGTTACAGCGTTGCAACCATGGTGGTGACGAGAGCTGTAATCTTCAATCACCGTTTGACCACTGGAACCGGCGGAACGTTGGACGCCATATGTGAAGGCAGGCCATGGCCATCCTTTGCTGGTGCCACCGTCGGATGTCTCATAAACTTTTCGCCCGCGGATTTGTTTTCGGGAAATGTTTGAAGGTTGGGTGTTGTGGCTGGACAACTATCTTCTAGTACTAAGTTGTGGTTGGTGTAAATAGTTTGAAGATTTGTCAACGCGGAATAAATTTTTGTAACAAGTTTCTGGAATAAAATGGTTATCTCAATAATACCGAGTTTGAAGGATTTCCCCCTTTTTTGCGCTTTGAAACCCCATGCATTGATTTTTGAGGTCACATGTTTTTCAGGGGAATGCGTTGAAACCCCAGGCATTGTTGCAAGGCCATGGCTATGCACTCCAAAAACAATCTCACGTTGGTTGGTATCCTGCAAAGCTTTAAGGGGTATAACTTAAAGATGAGCGCCGTCATGTGGATTCCAGGCTGATATATTTCAGTTGGAAACATAAAATTTAAAAGCAAAATCACTATCAACCAGATTTGGCAGGGGAGAGAGCTCAGCGCAAGCAATTGACCCAAGCAGGAACGCCACCGGCCCAGCGCAGCGAGTGAATCCCTGCGGTCACCTCCGATCCGGGGCTTGTCCCACCCATCCAGGCATTGCTTGACACGGACGCCGCGGTGCGGTGCGGTCACACCGCCACACGTCGGGCGGTGAGACGTGAACAAGCGGCATCATGGGAGCGGCAAGGCTCACGGGCGGCCTGTGCGGTGCGCGCGCCTGGTCCCCCGGCCCCCGCCACGCTCGCTCGCCCGCCTGCCATAAGGATCCCACCCCGCGCACACTGTCCCGGCATACTGCCGCGCTCTGCATCCCGATCCAGACACAGACACACAGACACAGAGCTTTTGGCAGCTCCTGCTCGGCTGCTCCCATGGGGCTCTGCCTGTCCGTGGCCCTGTGGAAGGACAAGGCCTACGCCCGCCGCGGGGCCGTGCAGCACGACGGCGCCGTCGACGTGATGGTGCGTGGCGGCAGCGGCGGCGGCGTCACTGGATACGGGCTTCTGGCAGGGGGCGGAGTGCCGGAGGCGGAGGAGGCCGTGGCCGTGGCGGCGCCGAGGGCTTCGGGCGCGCTGGGCACGCCGGCGCGGCCGATATGGCAGAGGAGGGTGCTCATGGGCGTCAAGTGCCGGTTGCCGAAGTTCAGCGGCATGATCCTGTACGACGAGCGCGGCCGGCCGGTGGGCGGCGGCGTCCGGGACAGAGCCCGTGACCAGGTACGTGGTCACCACGTTTGCTCAACTTACGTGTGTGTGAATGGATGTATCATTGTCCTGTACCTGTCTGCCTGCAGGAGAAGCACGCCGCTGCCATCGATAACATCCTGAGGGACCTGCACTGGTCCAGTCGGTCGCCGGCGGGCAGCTTGATTCCGGCGTCGGCCCGGTCCAGTTGAACACCGCTCCGTCCTTTCCAGTTTGTTAGGCCCATTATTAAGCAGAAGAAAATTCAGAAATTTCCTGTTTGCAAGCCTCATTGTTTTGGGAGTAGCCAGCCAGAGCTGTGCCTACGCTAAATTCTGCCAAATTCTGGTTCTCAATGTGACATCAACCAATGAAATGGAGGAGAGATCAGAGGGCCATGCATGTAGCATTAACTAGTTGAATGCTCTTATATTTGGATAATGGGACAACTTTATTCGTAGAGATGCCAGTACTCTGATTTAAGCTTCTATGCTTGTCTTGATCAGTCCCCAATCAAATTAATAAATTCAAGGCCATCTTACATTTGAAGCCATTTTGATGTATGCTGTTTTTGGCATAGTTTCATACTAGTAAGGCATGAATCACTTTCACAACATTAAATCTCTTCAAACAAACATACTGCACAAAGAAGAAAGATTTTCAGCTCACCGAAATTAGAACAAGTAATCAACAAAGTGGGTCAAAATTAACTGCCTCCTCGGATTGATTCAACATACTGTGAACATCAGCAAGTTCAAAATAGTTCCCCCCAAAAAATAAAGGGTCCAGAATTGTCATTCAAAGGAAATTTTATGATGACATGGACATATCGATCAGTACTCATGAATCTAATTACTAGCTTCGTCAAGTGTTAGCAATGACCAAACTAGCATGCCTCATTCATACTATACCAGAGGCCATCATCTTCTTAGGCAAGAGCATTGAAGCAAAGTTTGCCAACTTACGGAGCCAAGCAAAATCTTTGTGTTGCAATAAGGATTTTCGAATTTTAATTGCCTTATGAACCTTTACACCACAGAACTGGGATCATAGTCAGGCCGTCCGGGCTATAACGGAACAATGTAAGCCAGCATAGAAATTTTAATGCATTGCAGAATGGCCTATTCTCGCACTTTTTTAATTCCAATATGTGCGCATCAGGATGAACAAGTTCATAACAAGCCATGATTTTTCCTCTACTAAATGATCCATTAAGATATCAGGATTCAAATCATCACTTAAACCCAGCGTTAACAACGGCCATACCAGCATCTAAAAGTGTAGAACCAACATCCAGCTAGGCAAAGTACACAGAAATAGGAATTCGTCGCACCGTATACAGTTACCAATTTTCATAGCATGCTCTTGGTTCATGTAATTCTGAAATTAGTTGGCACTTCTCCTCGGCAAGAAGCCACATAGTCTTCAGCAAGGCGCGGTGCAGCTTCCTTGTGAGGACATATGCACATCTCCACGAATGCCTTCTCAGTGAACTTGGCGATTGTATAACAGCTCGGGTCACCTTTGAGCAATCCGTTTTCCTTAAGAAACTTGAAAAGATAGTAGCAGGGTCTGAGCCGGACCTCCAGGCTAAAGTTCTCCTCCGCGAAATTAGCTCATACAAATCTGAAATTAGTCGGCATTTCCCCTCTGCGAGCAGCAGCATAGTCTTCAGGGAGGTGCGGCGCAGCTTCCTTGTGAGGGCATATGAATTTCTCCACAAACACCTTCTCGCCAAACAAGACCATAGTGTAGTAGTCTCTGTCATGATCTAGCAATCCATTTTCCTTGAGAAACCTCATAACATAGTACCGGGGCCTGAGCCGGCCCTCCAGGCTAAAACTAAGCATCGCTGGCCGACGAGCAATGTACGCCGGTTCCAATCCCACCTCCGCGATGAGGAAGTCGGACTTGCGCTGCAGCGTTTCCTTGGACCACCTCAGCAGAATCGGCCACTTGGACACAGCAATGGCGACATCGGCATCCGACCACCTTGTTGCCTTCTTTAAGTGATCCACTTTGGTGGCCATCTTCTCCTCACTAACTAACGCAACAGACCGCAGAGCTTGCCTGAACATCGCAGAGCCAGGAGGCACGCCTAAAGCCTCAGCAGAGGCAACCATCGCCCGGATTTGTTGCACGTTGGCGGTGAGCATCCTTGGCATAAAGATGGCCAGCTTGCCAACATCGCAAGCACCTAGCGTGCACTCCTGCAGCAACTTCAAGTTCCGCTTGACCACCTTCTCGAGGCTGTGCGAGAGGAGATGGTGGTTACCCTTGAATACTCGGAGGAATTTCTCGTAGGGGCCGAAGTGCTGCAGGTAGTAGTGCACCTTGGATACGACGGACTTGCAGCGGAACTGCTTGGCACTGAGCGGGACGAGTCGCGCGATCTCAGGACGACAGCCCGAGGCCCGTGAGCTCGACGACGATGGGGGACAGGGTCGCCTCCACGCCGGCGCAGAGGAACTTGGGATCCCGCGCGACGAGGGCGGCGACGTCGGCGCTGGAGAGGCCGAGGCCGGCGAGGAAGGCGAGGACGGCGTCGGGCTTGGCGGGGGACTTGAGGTGGGAGAGCTTTGCAGAGGCCTTGAGCGCTTGTGCTCGGGTGAGGCCGCAGGTGCCGACCAGGTACTCCTCGACGGCGAATCCGGTGGGTGGGGAAACGGCGGTGGTGGCGGAGAGGAGTCGGCGGAGAGCGTAGCCGTGAGAGGTGATGGGAGAGGGGAGCAGGTGCGCGACGACGCAGCTCCGGAGGCGGAGCATGGCGAAGGCGCCGGCGGCGAGGGGATTGGGGAACGAGCGCCGCCGGTGAGAAAGTTTTGGCCTTTGTCACTCCTCGATGCGCTCCAAGAAGTGGGCCTTTGAGCCTTATCACTCCTCCGAGAAGCCCAACTCTTGTGAGCGAGGCCCAGCTTTCATCCACTACAGCTTTTTATAACACCCTCTACAGTTCGGAGGGAGTGCAGAACATGAACGAGGACGAGGTTAAAAAAGCATTGTTTCAAATGTTTCCGCTGAAGGCACCGGGTTCAGGTGACTTTCCCGCACATTTCTTCCAACGTCACTGGGAGGTTTGCGGCGACGAGGTAACAAACGTTGTGCTTAGAATTGTGGAGGGCACGGAGTCGACCGAATGTATCAATAACATTTTGCTGGTTCTGATCCCAAAGGTAAAAAGCCCAACTCTGCTAACACAGTTCCGCCCTATCAGCCTGTGTAATGTACTGTACAAGATAACATCTAAGGTCATCTCCAACCGCTTGAAGTTAGTTCCGCCGGACATAATCAGAAGAGCAGTCAGCTTTTGTTCCAGGTAGGCTCATCATGGACAACATCATAACGGCATACGAGTGTCTCCACTTTATGAAAAGGAACAAAGCAAAGAAGAACCAGCATTGTGCTCTAAAACTAGACATGATGAAGGCATATGACAGGGTGGAATGGCCTTATCTCCAAGAAATCATGCTGAAACTTGGTTTCTCAGAAAAGTGGGTCGGGATTGTGATGAGCATGGTCACGTTAGTCAAGTTTTCTATCTTGTTCAATGGTAAGAAGCTCCAACAATTCATACCGACATGTGGGATCCGACAGGGGGACCCTATCTCTCCTTATTTGTTCTTGCTAGCAGCAGAGGGCCTTTCGTGCCTCATAAAATCAAAAGAAGAGTCATCTAACCAGAGCGGACTTCAAGTGGCTCCTTCGGCGCCGCCTGTTAGTCACTTGTTCTTTCCAGATGACAGCCTGCTGTTTTCCAAGGCGAATGAAGCGGGAGCATCAGGGGTGCACCAGTTGTTGGACACATATTGTCAGGCCACGGGGCAAAGAATCAACTATGACAAATCATCCATATTTTTTAGCAAAGGAGTTCCCGACTCGATAAGAGCTGAAATCAAAGGTTTACTCAATGTCCCAAATGAAACTTTGAGTGAAAATTACCTCGGGATGCCATCGGATGTGGGCTCCTCCAAAAATGGTGCCTTCAAATACCTCAAAGATCGCTTGTGGAATAAGGTGCAGGGTTGGATTGAAAAAACCATGGCCATGGCGGGGAAGGAGGTACTAGTCAAGGCAGTTGCGCAGGCGGTACCGGTCTATTCCATGTCGTGTTTCAAGCTTCCAAAAGGCTTGTGTGAACACTTAAATATGCTAATCCGCAAGTTCTGGTGGGGCAGCAGAGATGGTAAGAGGAAACCTGCGTGGGTTGCCTGGAAAGATATGACACAACCAAAGGACATGGGAGGCTTGGGATTCAAGGATTTTGAGCTCTTCAATCTGGCTTTGCTAGCCGAGCAAGCTTGGAGGATCCTTCAATCACCAGAATCGCTAAGTGCCCGGCAATCACCCGAGCCAAATATGGAGAGCCATAGTCGAGGGGAGGGACATACTAAAACAAGGACTGATACGAAGAATTGGCGATGGGGCTAGCACCAATATATGGAATGACAACTGGCTGCCGAGACATGAGATGATGAGGGCTTATGGATGTTTGCTAAATAACCATCCTCAAAATGTATCAGAACTAATTGATGCCACCACAGCCAGTTAGGACATGAACCGAATCCAACAGGTGCTCCTACCCATTGACATCCCAACTGTGACACCAGTATCCCGATTTGTACCAGAGTCGTTGCAGATTTTTGGTCTTGGAATTTTGAGAAAAACGGTATTTTCTCAGTTAGGTCAGCCTACAAGATGCTTGTCTGTACAAAGCAACGTCGGGAGGCTTGGCTTGATGGCACTGGAGCGACGTCCAACACAGCCCAAGAAAGGAGTTCATGGAAATCTTTATGGAGCATTCAGGTACCAGGGAAAATCCGCATGTTTCTCTAGAGACTCACTAAACATTCAGTGCCGACAGAGGATGCCAGACAACACCGAAGCATGTCCACAACAAGAAAATCCGCATGTTTCTCTAGAGACTCACTAAACATTCATTGCCGACAGAGGATGCCAGACAACACCAAACATGTCCACAACAAGCTCATGTGGATTGTGCGGCGGCCACGACTTATGGAGGCACTCGCTCTTGGACTGCACCATGTCCCGTTGCATTTGGGCCTTGGTAGATGGTGAACTTGCAGATCAGCTGAGGGCTACCTCTGAAACAACAGCCAAACCATGGTTGTTTTTGATGATTCAGTCATTATCACATGCTGCATTCCTAAAGCTGGTTGTGACGTTATGGGCAACTTGGACAGCTAGAAGGAAAGCCATACACGAAGGGGAATTTCAGAGTCCTGCGGCAACACATGCTTTCATTAACAGATACTTGATGGACCTGGAAATTATCAAGTCAACAACTAGCAAGGCAGGCGGGTGCCGCGATCCAGCAAGGCCCTACAGCGAGGGTGAGACCAAGGGCACCATCGACGGGCCTCGCGAAGATTCATGTTGACGCGGGTGTGTCAACTGCTCGCAGAAAAGGATCGGCCGCAACAGTCTGCTGCGACGAGCATGGCACATATTTGGGTAGTTCCTCACTGGTGGTTATCGGTATCCAGGACCCGGCTATTCTTGAGTCAATCGCTTGCCATGAAGCATATGCTCTGGCAGAAGACTTGGCGCTCCATAATTTCATCATTGCCTCTGATGCTAAGCAGGTAGTAGAGGGCATTAACAAGAATGCCAGGGGCACTTATGGCACAATCATTCACGAGATCAGGAAGAGGGCAGAGAGTTTTAACAGCCATATCTTGTATGAAGGGTGTCGTTCTAATAACAATGCGCATAGCTTAGCCAAATACTCCCTTAGATTAGCTCAGGGGCACCATTTGTGGCTTTTACACCCCCACGATCCAGCATGTATCCCACAAACTGTGGTTTTTGATGAATGAAATTTACGTTCATCCCTCAAAAAAAAGTATGGAAGTCCCGTTTGTCTCAGAAAAAAATATGGTTGTCCCGTTGCTAAAAAAATGTATTGACTTCTCAAAGGGAAAAAGTATCGACTTCTAAAAAACATTATTGAAGCCCCATTTTGAAAGTGACTTTAATATTCAGATAAACCACAGAGGAGGGCACCAAAAAAGGCTCGTTATTTTTACAAATGGTAATTTAATCACTAGTTTTAGCAAACTTGACATGTCTTTTGTATTTTTGCTAGTTAAAACTTGACATGTCTTCCAACATACACCTATCTAGAATAACAAACTATGTGTGTTTCAATGGTCGGACTAGTGGTCATCGTCAAAACTTAGCAACACAATTTTTGGCAACTATAGGATGGGCTATTTAGAGATTAGACATTGACCATGTCATTTTAGTCCCCAATCCAATGTTTAGTATGTAATAGGAATTATTTGGGGGAGTTTAAGAGAGAAGTTTCTTACCATGTTTTGTCAGTCATACTATATGAGGGATTAGCTAAGTGATGATAACAAAAATTGTGATGAAACATAGTTAGTTCATTAATAATGCTATGGCATGGCATTTTGATCTCCCATGCATGTTGGAGCTAGCTATCTTGGATTAAGAGGCAACCGGAAGCGAAGGCGCACTTTGGTCATAGCACTAACTTCATCGACTGGCGGTTTAATTAGTTTGATGACAACATAAAGTTCTATCAGGTAGCCAATTTCATCATTTTTTTCCACTTGCATGGGGTTGACCTCTACGCCCAACTGTTGTAGACTTGCAGTAGGCTTGAGGTACTTTTGATTTTATGAGTCAGATGCACCAGGTCTGAATGATTCGAGGTACTTTTTTTACGATAAACTTCCAATCTATTCTTCTTTCACTACAGAAAAAACCTATTAATCATGACGGATTTCTGGTGACATTATCAGAAACCGTCATTGATAATGACAGTTTTCTCTGGTTTGTCATGGAAACCGTCAGAGACCAGCAACATAAGGATGGCTGTCAAATTGGCAGCCTCATTATGACGAACAAAGAGGGACTATCACGAAATCCAACATGGATCGACCATCGGGGCCTAGCTTATACACCATTTTCACCACCACAGATGGATGGTGTTGATGTGTCATGTGTGCCTCTTGTTTATCCCGCATGTTTGTCACATATATTTAATACTAGAAGGGTTGTGTGCGCTTTGCTGCGCCGTTGGTGCTGTTGGGTTTCCTAAAAAAATTACTCACTCATTTTCAAAATATAAGATGTATGAAAAGTCAAACCTTTTAAGTCTGATCAAATTTGTACAGAAATATATCAAAATCCATAATATAAAATCGGTATGATATAGATTCATCATGAAATGAATTTTCATACTTTTTATTTAATATTATGGATGTCGATATTTTTTGCTCTGAATTTGGTCAAAGTTATAGAAATTTGACTTTTCAAAAAACTAATACTCCTTATATTATGAAGTTGTTGGAATATTTAGTTTGGTGGGTGGGGGAGATGATGGAGTGTGCTTTATTTTTATTTATAATGCGGTGATTTGGTGGGCCTTTCAAGGTGTGATTATGTGTTATCGACAACCAACCTATATTTTACAGGGGATTTTTTTTTTGCGTTGGTGGGTGCATGTACTATATTGGTGCTACACTGCCACACGGCGGCACTTTTTCTCTAGATGATGGTAGGGTGCCAGTGGGGGAGGTGATATGTTTTTATAGGCAGTTTGTTGTTGATTGATTTGTAAAATCATTGGTCCGGTCAAAATCGTAAACCTAATCCAAAATTGAATACCTCAGTTGAATGAAAAAAACTTCAAAATTATGGAACATAGTGAATTAAAATAATTGAATGGAGAGCTCCTTGAGAAATTGTTGACCTAGTCAAAATCGAGTGACTCAATCTAAATTGAAGACCTCAATTACTTGGGATGCCTTAAAAATTAGGAAGCATAGTGTATAGTATAAATAAACAAATTAAATAAGAGAGCTTTGAGAAATTGTTGACCTGATCAAAATCAGGTGACCCAAGTTCAATTGGAGACCTCAATTGAATGTGGGCTCTTTAAAACCAGGGAGCATAGTTATAGAGGAAGTATTGGATTGCAAAAAAAAAGGAATATCTCTGATTCCAACAACAACAACAATAAAATAATCAATAAAACATGTTGCGTTTCCAACAATGAAAAAGCAATCATAATGCCAATCAAAATAAACCTGATAACATTGTGACAAACTGGGTGCATTTAGCTCAAGTCAAACATTCGAGCCAACTTATAAAGTGCAACAGCTGGGCTCATTCAGCACATAGTAATAATCAGTTGTACTGTCTGTCAAATACTTCTAGATCAACCCAATAGAATAAACCCAGCACTACAGGTCCATTAGATAGTTGCTAAGATGAGTAGAAGTCAATACTTTCTAGATCAATCCAACAACATGAGTGACTCTCTATTGGAGATTCCTTCCATGAACGTCCGGTAAAATCCACCTATCCACCTCAAGTACACCATGATACCAATATGGCGTGGGCACGGGCCACCTAGTATCCGACATTTTGTTTTCCAATGTAAGTTCAAAGTTGAATAAAACAGTATATGCTACCACAAACAAATGGAACTGAGAAAGAGAAAGAATACCTATTTTCCTTCCACCCTCCCTGTATTTCCTCAGGCTGGTTCAATCCTCTGTTGTCCAATATATTTCTTTCAATGTCAGTTAGCAGAATGAGTGTATGCATACCAACTACAACTAGCAAAGCGTAACACAAAGAAAAAAATATACCTTTCCGATGATAGTGCTAGACCAATCTTTTTCTTTAAAACGTCGACAACCTTACTCCTTGGCAGGAAAGGAGTTTCTTCATGCCCATCATAGAAGTTCATGCCGACGAGATTCCCACCAAAATTAATTAGAGGGCCTCCAATCCCAACCTAGTTAGTATGAAAATATAAATAGAAGCCCGAAGTTAGTGGAGAAGTTGCAACTCCTGAGATGTAGTTCATCACATGCATTGTGATTAAAGAGATAACTTGGTTTTACTTTCTAGACTGCCTACCATGCAACATTACGGTAAGAGATTATTTTTTGCGGGAAACAGTAAGAGAAATTCACCACTGTACCTTCTTGATTTTACATGTGGACAGCTTAAGAGCTCTGCAATCAAGTTCACTATCCTTGTTTCTACGCTTCACTTCACCACGTGAGGCCATTAATAGTCCTTCGTTAGCTTCACGTCCTATAGCAACTACTAACTTCTCTGATGACCGGTGTGCTGTGTTGAAAATATCTTCTGGATATATACGATGAAAACTCTTCTCGACGCTGACAATAGCAATGTTCTAGTTTAAGTTGTAAAATTCCAATCTCCCATTGGCACGTTGTTTTGGTGGGAGAAACACCTCAATCTGCAATGGTAAAGTGAGCTCAGCTAACCATCATATAACTTAACATACCATGAGAAATCATTAGGAACACCAACCCTCAAGTCATTATCAATGTTCTCTGCATTACGACGACTTCTAACCAAACAGGCCGAAGTCAGAATGACTGAGCGTGTTCCGCTGCTTCCAGGCCACTTTATAAACAAGCCCGTGCATGAAAAATACCTTGAGTATCCTGCACATCATAGTTTCAGTCATTTGTTACTGAGGAACAAGTATTATCATTGAAAATTAATTAGCATAAAACTGTAAAAAATCACCATCAAATGAAGAAAGTGAGACGACACGCCGGGATATATCAGAAACAACTTTTTTCCGAAGTGATTTCCAGATGCAAAACTCCAAAAAAGACAGGGAATTACATCGGAAGAATACCCTTTCCAAGCACGCAATTCACCAAATTGCTCTTCAAAATGATCAAGCAATTCTCCATTGACTGGTTAAAGAAACAAACTCAGGAGTTAGCTATAAAGAAGTGCACGACGGAGAAGTCAGCAAGAGCGAAAGCAATCACTTACATTCGAGCACAAGTGGTGGTGGCATGGGATAGCCCTGGGATTTTAACCGGTTAATAGATTTCCTAAATCCTGATGGAATAATTAAAGTTATCACTATTAGTACTCAACAATTGATATGTATAATGACGATCACATAACATTCTGCCAGATCAATAGGTAACATTTAGAATGATGACTTGCATGATTAGTCACACCTGAAGGGACTATGGTGGATACACCTGAAGGCAATGAATATGAGCGGATGTCGAATTCTTCAGGACTGCAATAGAACGCACTAAGGTTGTTATGATAAATAAATAATACAGCACACTGGAACTAGAGAAAACAAAACAGTGGCCACACCAACACAGGAACCAAATCTTACAGAAGGAAATAAAACTTAAAAGAAGACCTGGAAATCATGCTTATAAACATTAAGCAAGAGAACTAAGTTAGCAACAGGAGATGTGGTTGAAAGCGGATATTAGCAAGGTCCAATGCAGTAAGTATAATGATGAAAGTGCCTACTTGCTTAAACGAGAAACGGAACAAGAAAGGGTTCCTGAACATACATAAATAAACTAATTGGGGAAGACACAGCTCACATATACTGAAGTGTAATAAAAGACATGCTCGAGTATCTGAAAATGCTTCAAACGTTGATAAAGTAAGTCCCGTGACATGAAAAAGGAATACGTCGTGTTCGCCTCACACTGCTTATTGTCAAGGTTCATGCCAAGAAATCTTCCATCGTCTGATATCAATGGCCCTCCTAATGCAGCCTAAAACAGAAGTAAAGTTGTAGGGTTTGCATATAAAGGAAATATGGCACATTCACAGTGTCGTGATACATTATATACCTCTGTGATATGCTGCCCATCATCAGAAATCCACCTGCTGGGATGTTCCATACAGATAGACCCACGCATGGCCATCAAACTGGCTGACGTGAAACTACGCCCTGCAGCTAGTATACGTGAACCAGGGGAAGCAGGTACTGCTTGTGCCTGAAGATCCAGTTCAAGGGAACGAACATTTGGGAGGCCCGCCGTCGTGACAATAGCAATATCTCGATCATACAGTCCCAAAAACCCTTCTGTCATTGCATTACTAGGAAGGCGTACATCAATCTGTTGATGACGAAAACAGTACATCAGCGTAGAACGGCCACACTTGGCTTAAACTCATGAACAGAGCAAAATGAGGAACACAATGATTAAATACTAAGTAACAACCCTCAAGTTATCATCTTTGTTCATGTTATCATTATATGCGGTAACCAAATACGCCGAAGTCGCAAATCTTGTCAGCTGAAATTGAGTTGACCCGTGTGATACACATATGCCCGAGCATGCAAATAACATCTCATCTCCTGCACAAGAACATGATTTGGGTTATCACTTATCAGAATTGAGTACAAATAAATACAAAATGGAAAATTCATAAGTACAATCACCGTCAAACAAAGCAATCGAGACGACAATGGAAGACAGATCTCTGGTTGTATTGGTGCAGGTTCGGTAGTACTCTTGACCACGTCCAACCAAATAACCAAACTGTCTCTCTTCAAAGGAACTGGCCGACCCATCTCGATCAGGAAGTCTGCCAAACTGTTCCTCCTCAAGAGCACATCGTTTCTCCTCAGCAGCAGCGTACGCCGCCTGAACTGCGTGAACTAAAATTATTGACGAACAATGATTCAGCGGAACTGTGAGTATTCTATTAGAGCAGTATATACATATGCACAAAAAAAAATTCAGAACCAATGACTCACGTTTTAACATTGCTTTCATGCCTTTGCTCATCCTACCATTAGTGGCTTTTGGGACATGACTCCCACTTGAAGCGAATGACGACTCACGTCCGTTTCTTCTGTTTATGGCTCTCTGCTCCCTCTCCAAACTTGCGCTTGCAGTCCTGTAGCAGCAGAAAGTAAATCGAAAATGCTTAATTACTAGAGCAAACTAAGGCCTCCTATAAGGTTCGATCATAAAGACATAAGTTCATAATAATACCCCGACATTAACTGAAACTCTAACAGTCAGGGGATCTGCCAATTTTCAATAAGATAGGAGAAAAGCAAAATAATTCAATACAAAATTATTCACAAAAAGGACATAGGAAGACGCCATGGCCAACTTCCTCTTGTAAAGATCCTCCTTAACCAGCAGGAAGGCGGCATGAAGCACTGACATGGAAGCATTCTGAAAAGTTCTACGGTTTCTCTCCTTTGAGACATTCCAAATTAAGGATGTAAATGAGGACCTAGCTTGCTGAAATTTTTTCCTCTTACACACGTTAAGATGATGGGTATGCTTGTTTCACCAGTCCTCAGTCATACAAACAGTGAAAAATACTGACAATACAATTTCTCACAAAAAAAAATACTGATAATACAAGCAGTGACAATACTGAAAGAATAGCAAGTGTATATGTGCGCCAGGTGCTGAAAATCAGTACAAATATGACCCTAGCTAGTGTTGTGTGCATAACCATAACTGCATATAAGAATGTAAGATGCTCCAATTTTATGAAGCCCTAGTGTTGCATTGGAAATCAGGAAGTGTTGGAACGTAATAAGCAGATGATGATGAGAAAAATAGACGCTTACATCGCGCAGCTCGGGGAGGAGGGGATTTGGGGATCTAGGGTTGAGGGCGAATCACGCACGGATATAAACAGGGTTGCCCTGATTTATATGGGAATCCATCCAATCGGATAGGACTGGTTGGGTCGGTATCCTCAACTCGGGACTGAGTCGGGAGTCGGGACATAAAAAGCGGCGGGCACCGCGAAACCCTTGCCAAGGCGAGTTCGTTTCCAAATCTCTGAGATCTGTTGCGCGCGCACACGATCGAGTCCAGTCCAGCGTCATCTCTACCTAATTCTATGCATCCACACATGACGCGCCGCCAACGCTACATGGTTCCTGACATCTGCAAGCTTGGTTCCTCTTGTGCCTCTACTGCTGGCACAGGCAATGAAGGAAAGATCGTTGACAACCTGACGATCAAGGTACGACTAGCGAATGATCACATTGTCACTGGGTGGTTAGAGGAGAGGATACCGTGCATATTTCGATTGTGCCGTCGTCAAGATTCGGTACGTGGGTGGCTTGGCTTCCATGCTGCACATCTCGACTCTATCATGACATGCAGTTTGAGCCTTGCAGGAGAGTGGTAGCCTTATGGCGCTGTTTCGGTTCAGGGTTATTGATTGGGACTTTGTTGGAATGAACAGCTATGCTAGTTACCAGAAAATGCTTCTGATCCATAAATAGATGGTCAAGAAGGGGATAGTCAGGATGGGGGTTAAGCAGCATAGCAGGTTTGATGCAGGTACTACAAGACAAGGATATACAAGTGTGCTTAATTTCCTTGAAGATTTATTCGACGGTGAGATACAGTCTGAACTCCCTAAAGTCGTCGCTTCACAGATTATCCAAAGTGTTGTGTCACTAGCTTCCTTCATTCAAAGGAGAGTCGAAGATGCAACGTTTTTCGCTTGCACGGGGTTTGTTATGAAGTGCAATGCGTCCTCCTCTGCAACAATTGTCATTTTAGTAAGTTTGGTTAGAGCTTCTGGTGATGTTCACAGGATTAATCCTAACTTGAGGATTGAAGTGTGCCTTCGATACTGAAAATCTGCAATTTACAATACAACCTAGCTTGTGTTGACATCACGGGGTGTCGACATCTTCTTGCACTAAAGGTCCTGCCACAACAACTTCGTACACATGGAATGGATGTAATAGCTGTGGGATTCCTTTTTTATGGATTCAATATAATGGCCACTTGTTGCGCCAAAGCAAACTCACTTATGATTTGTGTGCGATAGGCGGAAAGCGTCTTACCTCGTTGGAGGGTCGCGTTGCATGTTTATATGGCAGAGGCGCACCTCCCTGGATAACAGCGCATACAAGATGTTGTTGAGATTACATGCTTGGAGAACAAGGGATAAGAGAGAGAGAGGTTCGGTTCAGGAGATATAGAGATAAGCACCGAAACTACTTAAACATATATCCCTAGTCTATCTCTACAAGGCTGCGTTTAACACCCTCCCTTAATCACAACTTCATCAAGTTGAGATTATGCTTGAAGTCTTCAAAACTCCGTGTGGGCAAAGCCTGGGTGAATCCATCAGCAACTTGATCTCTGGAGTGTACAAACCGAATGTCAAGTTGCTTGTTGGCAACTCTTTCTCTGACAAAGTGAAAATCTATCTCTATGTGTTTTGTTCTGGCATGAAACACAGGATTAGCAGACAGATAAG